ACTAATTTTTAAAGTATCAAATTGAGTTTTTGTTCAATAAAAAATCTTTCAAATGCGACTGTTACTTTCCCCCCAAAACTTTGTCTTGAAAATAAGAATGCGTCTTAGATTCCGAAAAATATGGTATCTATAGAAAGTTTGTTTTTCAAATATTCCTTATTTGATTCATTTGTGAAATGGTTTTTACATCTTTTTTTCCTAGTGGTTTATTAATTATATCTTTTTGAAGTTTAAAATATTTTGATTCCTTACATTTTTTCATAGATATTGATAATACAGAATAAAAGAAGTTTCTGAATTCTTACATGAATGAATGTGAATATTCGTTATTAGAAACTAACAAATTTATATCAGCTATGATATTTAAGGTATAGACAAAATTTCTTAAGTTTTCTGTGAGTTCTAGTTCAGATACTCTGTCTGTAAAGTTACTCTGTGTATATAAGTTGGCTTAGGCTGTTATGTGCTGTTTCATGATTCTTCATTTGTAGTGATATGACTGTTAAGGAGCAGATACTTTTAGATTCTGAGAGAAGTTGTGGTGTTTTCAAAAACATGTTACAAAAGATGGAAATTGGAGAACCCTAATACACAGAACAAACTGTGGTACTTCCAGATGGATTGTTTTCCTAAACATAATGAAACATATAGTATACTTTAATCTAGTAGCTGACCTTTCTCACTGGACGATACAACATTTGAGGTATGAAACATTCCAATGTTATGTTAATGAGTAACTACTATAGCTCTTAATACTTCACCAATATAAGCAGTAGTTATTCATTAGCTAGAACAGTATTAAATAACGTATAACTGCTATCTACTGTTGCATATCATTAACATAGGTCTCAAAACAAGTTATTAAGTAGTGCTTTTGAATTTCTCATTATTGAGGTGGAGAGCAATATGATCATTTATTACATATGTGTAAAATGCATTAGTCTCATATGAAATAATTATAAATATTGTTTTGAATCATTATTTGGCTGAAGTTTAAATGTGTACCTTAAGCATACAAACTATTAGCAGTTTTAAGGCTGGGATTGGTAGACATGTTTTTAAGAGTATATAACAAATTTTTTTTCTGTTTTTTTTTTATGGCAAAGCTAAATGGCTAACTTCCACTGTCCCAGTATTGAACAGTTAATCAAGTGACCAGCAGCAGCCACTGCCAGCTTTTGGGCTACCTTTTTTACTGACAAATATTGGGACTAAAAAAGGTGTATTAATAATCAATAATAATGGAATCAGGAAAAAGAACCAGAAAATAAAACCCTAATTC